ACCCAATACCATTTTAAGTGTAAACTTAAAATAATTTCACATCTGTACTGTGAGTGTGAGTATATTGTAGTTGTTCAATTAAAAAATACTTTATTGATCACAAAAGTAAATTATATAATATAATAGTAGTTCAAATGCATGTATTTTAGTTTAGCTATGCTCCCCAGTGTGGGTAAGGACATAGAGTGTAAATAAATAACGCACCATTGTGACACATTCGTTTGAAGACRTGGTTCTGCAGGTTTGTCATTCTGAGTGYCTTGCACTGGGTCAGACTCTGGCTCGTACATGTAAGGCTGGATTGACAAGTCTACTGTTGTTGACATCCTTATACCTTCTTGCCATCTGCCCTCACTAATATGCACCTTCATATACATTATTTTTTGTACTGTACTTTACGGTGTATGTATGTATGTATACAAATAAGCATATGTATTTATGTATATGTGTATATGTGCATTGGTACATTACTATATATCACATGTGTATATTGGGGTTTTGTTTGTTATCTTTTATTAATCTTTCATTATTCTTCTCAGCCTCTCTTGTATTACGCTGCAGTAATGTGCAAATTTCCAGACTGTGGGATCAATAAAGTTGTATCTTATCTTATTTTATCTTAAAAACAGTTTTTAGTCTGTAGATAACTGTGTTTTTGCTATGAAACTACAAATATGGCCGAACGGGGTGGAGTCGAACGCTCAGGGACCTGGAGGGGGCGGGTGGTGTGAAATATCTCACTTGTATTTAAAGAGACGCACCAAAACAGCTTGCTCTGAGGCGCAACTCAGAACAGGGGTAAAAGCAAGGAAAGCAAGGAGTCTGTGGAGCAACAAAGACGAGGAATTAAGACCAAAGCGTTGCAGTTTTATTTTAAATAGACCATAAGTGAATGATTTAGACGTGAAAAAGAAGGATTTAAAAGCATGATATGATACCTTTTTTAAACCCTTTCTCGCCTCAGTCCAGTAAATCAAAATGCTTGATGTGAAAACAGAACAAGAAGAAGCAAAAATAAAATTGTAATTAACAGGAAGCTCTGTAATCTGCTCCTTGTAAGTCTGAGTAGTCTAAATATTGTTTGAGGTATAAAAAAAAGGCGAACTTGTTTCCAGGTTTATTGTTCAGATTTGGGCCACAGCTGTTTAAAAATTAAAAGATAATTTTAAAAGACTATGTATCATCATACATTGTTTGTTTCCATGGCGTGCTCATTATAACGGTCTTTCTGACCTCACACCAACTGTGTTTATATTTATATATTTTATTTATTTTTTTGTTGTGTTCCTTTCTGAGTCAGATTGATCATTTTAATTTGACCCTTAGTTAATTATTAGAATTTGCAGAAGTGGTGGTAGTTACTGTCACAATTAATCGGTCTTACTGTAAGTCACTGTGATGTCATCTCTGCTCCGAGGCTTATCGTTTACCAGCTGTTTCCTGGAAGGTTGTTGGTGTGGTTAAGATTTGACAGCCATCTCTGAATTGCACAGGTTTTCTAGTTGCTGCATTTGCAACATGCCAAAGATAAAAATTCATACAAGTAATTTTGCATCAGTTGGTCATGTTCTCACATTCAGTACGAGAATGCATGAAGGAAGTGGTTTGCTTTTTTGCAAGACGTTTATTGGCATTGATAGTGAGACAGACATTTATGGTAACTGATTGGTGTCTAGACGTTTTAGTTGTACCTCCCTTTTTTATTTATTTATTTTTTCGCTCATTTGTTTCGATAAATCACTGTCTAGAAACAGAAGTGCTAGTCACTTCTAAGAAAGGAAACCCTTGGTGTGTTTTCTACGTATTGTAATCATCTGACCATTCTTTAGTTTCAAACTAGTGTCTGGCTTGCACATTCAGCACTTMCTGTGAATGTGTGTATAAGTCGCTGCCATAGATGCGAAAAACAAACAGCAACTTGTTTTCCTTTCAAAGCACAAAATGACTTCTGAATGAGTTACAAAAACAACTTTCTTTATTGACATTTATTCCTTTGCTCTTCTTGTTGCTGTTTTAACCCAGCAGGTCAGTGCAGGAGGAGTCCGTCGGTTCATCAAACCGCCGGAGTCTTTGGAGCGATCCCTGGAGCTGTCCCGGCATCGAGGCCGGAAGAGAACACAGAAAAGGCCAAACTATAAAAACCTGGGTGAGGAGGATGACGAGAGAGCGGGGGAAGGTGGCAGCAGCGGTGGAGGGGAGCTGGAAGAGTGCTGGGATGATGACGGTGTCCGAGGAGGAGAGAGGGAGAAGGGAAAAGGTACAGAGGGAGTTGGAGGAGGAGGAAGTGGGAGTTCTAAGGGAAGCAGAGCGAGTGGGGAGATGGCGGAAGGTGAGTGTGTGTCTCGGTAGACGCAGAAGTACAGGACATTGTTTGAGTGTTGTTTACACACATCAGTCAGCGTCAGAATTGTGGTCGCTCCTGAACATTGTTTTCCCAGCAACCACTGCAGCAGCAGCACTCGTCTCCAAATAAAGAGTTAAAACTAGAGATGCATCAGTCAGTCAGCTTGTAAACAGAACCAGACAGGTTTTTATTTTTTATTTTTTTATTTTTTGACTGTGACAGATTGATCTGAAACTTAAAAATCTGTTTGTTCATTTTTTTGTTTAATTTTTTTGTTTTTCATGGCCTATAAGCGCACCATAATTAGTTTTTGAATCATTTAACATTACACATCTTTCATGTAGAAGTTTTCTATATTACTGTATAGCAGGGAGAATCAGTCCTGGGGTCTCATTTATAAAGGATTGCGTGGAAACCATACTAAAAGTGAACTTACGGCAAAAAGGCGGAAATGGCGTACGCCAAAAAAAATTCAGATTTATAAAAYCATGCGTACGCACGTTTCTGCGCATCTTTCCTTTATAAATCACAGCCACACGTCAGAGTTTGTGCACGAGGTCCCGCCTCAGGTTCTACCCTCTACACGCCCACATTCAACCATAAACAGTCGATGCAAAGTACCTCATGAATGTTAAGTTGTATTTAAATCAGTCAGCTGATCAATGCCAACAAAAGTGATTGGTTCAGACACGCTCCGTCCTGCGTCTGGAGGATGACGGGTGCTGACAGCTGCTCACGTGAACAGATTGTCAGTAATTGACACAGATTTCCCCTCATTTTACAGGTTTATAGACGTTTAGAGTAATCTAAGGATTTTAAAAAAATACTCAGCTTCAAATTAATTTTCCATCAGAGCCTGAAGGACGATAAAAACAATAAAAATAAAATTAAATAAGTCAGATAAAATTAGAAGTAAGTCCTCTCCCCCTCCTGCCTGCTCTGTTATCCGCGGCAGACACCCCCGCCCCGCGCGCGCGCGCACACACGCACGCATCACTCACACACACACACACACACACACCGCGCGTGACAAACACTGGCGAGGTGATGCGCCCTGCGCGTGTATCCAAAGCGTGACATTTGCTGTCTGGGATTTGCGCACGGGAACTTTTATTTAAGATTTAAGTTTTTTTATTTTTATTTCAAAGGTCCTCATGGCTCAGCAGCAGAAGCATAAATATTACTGTCAAGAAAGCTGATGATAAAGTTGAATAAAAATCTAAGTCCGATTCTGAAGGTAAATTAAATATCTGACAGTGATCATTAAACAGTGTGGCTCTAATTCCTAACTTCACCATCTGTTTCGCAGTTTCACGTCTCCAAAATGAGCGTACGCATGGGTCAAAGCTGGCGTGAGGGACCGCACATTTTCACGTCAAGTTTGGATTTTATAAATCACAACCTTAGCGTAAAAAGTGGCGTACGCAAGTTTCTGGGCTCAAATTGTGCGTACGCCAGTTTTATAAATCCGACCCCTGGTCCTTGAGGTCTGCAGCCCTGCATGTTTTACTTTTTTCCCTTCTCCAACACACCTAATTCAGTCAGTGAGTTACCTCKTCCAAGTTCTGCAGAAGCCTGTAAATCATCCATTCATTCAAATCAGATGTGTTGGAGCAGAGAAACAAGTAAAACGTGCAGGGCTACAGCCCTTAAAGACCAGGATTGACTATCCCTGCTGTATAGTCTCTTTCCATTCATCTGACATCCTGTTCACTGATTGACCCAGTTGAAATTCTACTGGAGAAATCCAAGTCAATGGGAGAAAAAGCCCAGACAAAGCAGAGAAGGGAGATTAGAATCAAGCAGAGTTGCATCGGAAGGCTACAAATCTCCTGATCCACTCAGAATAATTTAATGAAACTTGATACATATGGATGGAGTGTTGTATACACTTTTCATCACCCCAGTTGTGACGTTAAATTCACAAATCAAGGTCAAAAGTTATACAAGTCTTGTCCAGGCTATTGATATCCTGTAGATTGCTGTATAACAGTTTGTCTGCGGTCATATGTGGCACTCGATGCCAGCATCAGAGCCAAAGGAGTTGTGGAGTGTAACTCAACAGTGTTGATGCAGACAATGCTCCTTAAATTTGTGTCAAACAAATCTGAGTCCAGCAGTTGGCTGGTTACAAACATCTTCAATAAATCACACTGTTGAGAAGCAAACAACCCCCATCGTTCTGGAACTGCTTTGCTTTATGGATCAGTGTTGTATTGTAACAGTGGTGGGTTGTCTTCAACTAGAAACATTTTTATTAAGAACACTGTTAAATGTTCAACCAGATATTATAAAACAAAACAAAACTTTATTATAGTTCTAGAGAGAAATTAATTTTGTAAGGTCAGAGCTTCACAAAAATCTGAAATTAAAATTGGCCTAAAAGCTGTGATTGGTGCATCTCTAAGAAAAACACAACAAAGCTGCTTTAAATAAACATCAATGTTTTAATTGCACATTTGCCCAGCTTTGTTGCTTTTTATTATAGCAAATAATTGAGCATCAACATGACCGCCTCTTACATGCTTCTGCTGCTAGATTGTTTCCATTCAGCATCTTTATTATTGAGTAAAAATGGCAAGAAAAACAGCAATTCTGTATTATTCTGCTTGTTTACATTAGGCCTCCCTTTTTACATCAACCGCCCATCTATCACACATTTAGAGCGAACTGTTCATTCTTTCAGTGACCRATCATTCATCCTGTGCTCCTCACCTCTCCGCCTTCCTCCCACTGCTCCTCTGACTGTGTGTGTGTTTTGGTGAAGCATTTGTTGTGACCATTTCACTCATCTGGACTGATACCTTCTTTACTTTGACAGATTAGAGATGTTTCTTTGGTTGTGGTGGTGTGGTGGTTGTGGGGGTGTTATTTATTAATGCCTCTAAAGGCCAAAAGAGCAACCTGTAACTTGTAAAAGTGGGCATTGTGGGCTGTAAAACAAAGCAGTTTCAAATTGACACATTCCAAAAAGATTAGAAAAACACCCACAGAATTTAACAGAATGATAAGGTTAGTGTTGAGTTTCTAAACCTTTTAAAATTAGATTGACATTAAGTGAGTATAATGTTCTGAAGAGTTTTAACAGTGTCACTCAGCAATAGCTGTTCAGGAAAAGTGACATTTTTGACATTTTAGTTGCCTCCATTTATTGATTTTTAACCAAAAAGAAGGAATCACTTCAGAATGTACATTCATATGTTGTCCATTCTGTGAGTGTGCTGAAAATGTTGAATGTTTTATTTTATTTTTATACCATGATCGGGAGGAGAGATGGTGTCCTCATTTTTCAACATTTTTCTAAGCAGAAAATGTGTGTGCACAGAAATAGAGATGGTGGTGATGGAGAAGTGTAAAGTGTCTGAACTGACAGAACAGAACATCACTGATGAGGAGAAGACAGCTGCTGCCACTCGTGCACATGCCCAAAGAAGCAGGTAAATACGTGCACGCACAGACGCACATGCAGAAACCTAATGAGGATTTATCAGTAGACTGACATGTTTCTGTCCCTACAGACCCTTCTTGGACATGGTGTACAGCGCCCTTGAGTGTACTAATGATGACTACCACGCCCTGTTTGTTCTCTGCCTGCTTTACGCTGTCTCACACAGCAAAGGTTGGCAGCTCACTGTTTATCTTCTCACACCACTTTCAACCCAACTTTTACTTTGACCAAATATGTTTTTGATATTTAACATGTTAGTGAGGTTTCTGTTTAATGTCAGACTGTGGGAATTACAAGTTTGAAGTGATTTATTTTAAAAGTATCCGTTTCYTTGTAGGCGTAAAAAGCTTAATTCTCAGATCCTTTCAGTGTTTTGGACTATTGTTCTTTAGGGAAATCTGAATGACTCAGAATACTTTGCATTGTTCATCAACTTGCAGTTCCCTAAAGCCCATTACACTGAGCTGCGACGGTTGAGAGACTGGTTTGTGAAAAGAAAATCTCTCACAATTACAAAAAATGTGTGAATTTTCAGCTGCAGTCTGACTGAACTCTGTTTGCRACAGATGATCGTAGGTGCAGGTTTTTTGCTCTCATCTGTGTGGTTGTAGCCATTAGTTAAATGCGACCTCCATCAGACTCCTGTATTTACAACACTCTATGGCTCTGAAGCTTTGTCCTGCCATATTCTGTAGGCTAGATAATGTTTCTTGGCTATTTCCTCATAGCATASTATCCCACCTGCAATCCCATCATAGTTTATTCCTGCAGGAACCCAGATTTTGCTTCACATTCCAGGATCAGGATTGATGACCTTTTCTGTGTTTCAGTTTTAAATAGTCCAACAGAAACCCTTTGATTGGCTTCYGATGCYGATTTAGGCTTTAATGGTTTAATTTATTTTAGGTGTGAACCGGGATCTTCTGGAGCGTCTGCAGTTGCCAGTTCCGGACCAGGAGAGAACCTCTTACAGCGTGGTTCTGGTAGAAAGACTCATCAGAATTATGAACCAGGCAGCACAACCAGGTAACACACACACATTCATGCACACAATTAATGATTTTTCCTATAAATACACTTTATCTTGAGTATTATAGTTAGGATTCTAGTTTTGTGTCTTATTGTGCATGACGGAGTTAAATTATATAAATAACATACTGTAGTTATGCATTTATTGGACTTTTTGACACTGAATTATTTGCATGTTACAAAACCAAACAACAAAGCAGAAACACAAATAAGTAAAACTTTTTTTTTTTTTACCAGAAAGTATTTTACCTGATTTCCCTCTGGGATCAATAAAGTATTTTTGAATTTGACTTTGAAGATATTCAGAAGTGAATATGATTTATTAATAATAATAATAATAATAATAATAATAATTTGTAATGCACTTTTCATTAGCAAAGATCTCAGAGTGCTGTGTAATGTAGTGCTATGCTAATGTAATTCTTGAAAAGTGAGATACCTAAATGCACGTTACATGAATGGGCACAATTAATTGATCCTGTCATTGCATCTTTGAAACTTCCATTAAAGGGTTCTTTTCTTTAGGCATGAACAAACTGCACTAACTCATGCACGTTCTTAATAAAGTTCTGTTCCATTTGTCAGATGGAAAAGTGCGCCTTGCTACCCTCGAGCTGAGCTGCCTTCTGCTAAAGCAGTCTGTGTTATCTGGAAACTGCTGTATAATCAAAGATGTCCATCTTGCCTGCTTGGAGGTAAAATGCAAATACACTCGTGCAACTCTGACTCATCCAGTTTTGTGAAAATGTCACGTGACACGAGTGTCAAAGAATTCCAGTGAACAGAGCGTACGGGAGCCTAACATGCCTGTTCCATAGATTCACTTCCTTAGAAGATAAACTGTTGGGTTTCTCTGAATAGCCAACTTGTTGCTTCTTCTTCTCAGTATATGATTTCACACTTAAGGACATTATCTGACTTTTTCATCTCCTTTAGCATGCAGTTCTAACTTCTCATGATCTCATTGCCCCTTTTACTTCTTGCTGCTCCTTTTTTCTCTCACAACTGAGCTTTTTGTAATTTATCATTCTGAGAAGTTAGTATATTTTTCTGCCTCTTCAGGCTAACCCTCATTCCTGTGAAATTATTACATTCCTTATACACGTATTTGCACAGCTGATAATTTGCTGTTTCAGAACGAAGTTTGTGACCAATCTCTGGACTTTCAAAGAAAGTTTTGATCATGAGTAAACTCTAAAAACTACCATTTATGAGCAGATCTGTGAGGTCTGAGCTTTCCACTGGTATCAGGCGCTTCCTAATGTTTTACAGTGTAAGACTAAAGATGAGAAGAGATGTGAACAAATCTTTGACACCATTTTTCTGTTGTCTTTTTGTTTTGTAGTAAGTGAACTTTAATGAAATATGTTGCTCAGTTAATGCAGAACATAAATATAAAATCAGATCCGATTAGTGCTTACTGTCAATTTTCACTTCCCTGTGAGAAGAACTACCTTTTTATTCTGAAATCATTTCAGGAACAACTTCATCTTCACAACTTGCATGACCTGCTCTCAGGTTTGAGGATGCTTATTGATTTAATGGCAAGGTGTAACAGGTGTGGTGGCATTACCGTTAAGAGTTTATCCTAATTTATTAAAAAAAATAAAAATCAAATAAATGTTCTAGTTGGCATTATATGAATATTAAAATGTAATGCATTGATTAAAATTTGACTAAAAGGCAGCCTGGCTCATGTTAATCTGGTGTAAAAGGTGTAACTCTGGTTTAATTAGACAGTTTCCTGTCTGACTAGACTGAACTTGTTTGTGTTCCTCTGCATGTTGGCCGGAGATGATGTGGTTTTATTATAAACAAAACAAATTATCTCACTAGTTGATGCTTTTTCAGTTCCTCTGTACTGGAGTTCCTCTCCAGTGTTTCTCAGGAACGACAATCAGGAATACATGTGAAGCATTAGCTCTTCCCAGTAAGGCTTTAAAAGCCCCGAGGTCTGTTTTCATGGCACTGTGATTCCAGAGCAAATCAAATGTCAACTTAGGCTGTGTCATGTTTAACAAGTTAGAATTCAAGGGAAAATCCTCTCACACTTGAAGAAAACAAGTTGTTTATTTTGATGGAAAAGCAGTGGATGCACTGGTAGCAAACCAGACGTTTTCTAATCTCTACTTGGTGTCTGGTTGTTTTGTTGCTTTACAAACTGAACAAGTAGATTATTTTTATTTTCTAAAGCTAAAGAAGTGTTTGTTTCTATGAGTCTGAGAGTTTTAGTGTGTCATGTTTTTGTATGCAGGGTGCCCGAGAAGAAAGTCTGCATTTACTGCGAACCTTCTACAAGGTAAAAATGTTCAGTAGCATAATCGAACAAATCTGCAATAATTTAATGGATTAAACTACAAGTACACACACCTCACACACACACACACACACACACACACACACACACACACACACACANCACACACACACACACACACACACACACACACACACACACACACACACACACACACACACACACACACACACCAGACACAGTTTTATAAAAGCATATTAGAAGGTAATATTGGCTAACACATTAAACTGTTGCAAAACATTTTACATTCCTTTATTTCTTATTTAAGTTGCACAATATGCTGTTTTTGTGTGTGTGGGTGGGTGGGGGGGGGGGGATATCAGGCCTACTAGGGGCAGTATATTTGTGCAGCGATTTTGAGAGAACTTCAGCAATGAGTAGTTCTTGTATTTTACATCCACTTTTCCCAGGCCACAGTTTCTAACAAAACTGTGATGAYTTACTGTAAATCTGGTTCGTTGGAATCTTGAAAGTGGAACAAACTATTCAACCCTCCAACAAAAACAGTCGTACTGTTTTGTGTGCAAGCTAGCACCTGTTTYGTTTAGTTTGTAAAACAAGTAAAATGAAAGTGTTAGTTTTTGAAGCGTTACGTGAAATGTTTTCAATGCCATTGATGCTTTCTGTTTTGCTTTGATTCTCTGTGGATATCACTTTTGCGATCAGTCACAGGAGTTTATTTAGGCTTTCTTATAATTTACAATTTTAAATTATTTCTGGAGTTTTCCTAAAACATTTAGAACTAAAAGCCTAGAATTCCTTGAAGGAATGGATATCACCCACCACCTTTACTGCCAGACTTAAGGCCCTGTCACACTATAACGTTTTAGACAACTTGTGCCAACTTTGAACAGTAGTTAAGATGCCTACCCTGAAGATGGAAAACAAAAATTAAAAATAAACTGGCAGCATCATATACATACTCTAATGTTAACTATTTGAATAAATATATTTCAAATGAGTAATTTAGTCATAATAAAATTTTCATAAGTTGACAAAAGCTGTTGAAAACCATCTTTGATCATCTCATGGTCAGAAATGTCAAAGTTATTGCTGTTTTAACCCAACCTAGAAGATGACATTGTACACAATCTTGACTTTAAACTCAGCATGTGTTGTGAATCACTGGTATTGCCTGTTTCAAGATGGATCACTTGCTTACTTGCTATATTAAACTGAAAAGCCACATTTTTAAAAGTATTTGCATATTCTGAAACCAGTTTAGACTGAGAATAAGATAATATTGATCTGTAGTGTTCAGGTTCTGTCTGAAAACGAAACCAACTTGGAGGGAATTCTGAATAAGTAGGGAGTGTTTGTGTTGACCTAACTTGTTGGTTAGGCGAACAGGATGTACTCGATACGAGTTTACACAGAAACAAATGTTTCAGATCCTCCAAGCTTAGAGCTGCATGTCCAAACAGCTTCACTTTTTCTGTTCAGCATGTTCTGTTTTGGGTCTTAACATTATTGTTCTTTGTAGATGTGCATCACTTAAGGATTGTTTTCTAACTCCCACTGGTAAATAAATGGTGGATCACATGGCCGATTATTATCATGTTGTGCTAGTATCATATTCAGTCTATTGAATGCAGAAGTGGTGCAGAAATATGAGTGCAGACAGAAACATGCACATCATTATTTCTGCAAAAAAGGATCCTTATCAAACCTTTTACTGGGAGGGATTTTACTTCCAGTCACTGTTTTTACACCTGCTTATGAGAATAAATGACAAAGATTATTTTTATGACGAGATAAAATATGATAACCAGTGAAACTCAGTACTTTGATTTCTTGTAAACAGGCTAGTTAGTTTTTCAAATAAACTAAGCTGTTTGTTCTAAAACAACACCTAAAATCTGAAACTGTAAATCACAACTTTTTGCACCTGGATATGACTAGATGTGAGTTTGAGTTTAAATAGGAGCATTTATCTTCCACATATTTTTCACTTTTTGAGTCCTATTTCATTAGTGAATATCAATGAAAAATGCAACAAAAAAATGGGTGTAGTTGATTTAGCATTTACCTTTATTTGCACACATTATATTGTTTTGAAACTTACTTTTAATTTTTTCTGTTGTGACAGGGGGAAGAAATCTTTTTGGACATGTTCGAAGATGAATACAGAAGCATGACGGTGGGTTATATTAGGACTGAACGATATTGGGAAAACACATATTTGATGTTTAATATTGCATTGACTATCAGAGTAAAAAATATATTTTCTCCACTTTTCTCTCGGGTGGGGGTGGGGGGTAATATGTATTTTCCAGGCACATAGTTCAGTGTTGTACCACAATCAAGTAACTGTTACTTTCAGTTCTGAAAATGCTCTATATGTCATAGATGTCAGAAATATCGTTTATCTAAATGCGTTGAAATTGGCCTCTGTCTCTTTTGTGGAAAATGACAACTCAGGATACAGTTGAACCTTACTCATATGATCCCACATTGGACCCAGAAAGTATGTTTTCAGAAGAACTACAAAGCCATTGAATCTCCTCTGGTGTTCATTCGTAGCTGCCTCAGTGCTTGCTGTTACAATGCACCGCCCATTTGTTCCTAGCACTTCTATGAAACTCAGTCCCCAGCCAAGCTCCTCCCTGGAGGAGTCTGCAATAGAGCTCCCACCACACARAACACCCCTCCTCCGTGAAGTATTGTTTTGAAACGCGCTGAAGTGGGAATGTGGAAATGGTAGGAGGTTCTTAAGGAGGCCAATTTCAAGATGTTTGAAAAAGGTTATGATACAAAGTCAATTTTATTTTTGATATACAGCTTTTTCATAACAACTGAAGGTAACTTAGTTACTTGACTGTGATATAGTATTGAACTATGTGCCTGGAAAATACGAAAT